TCCATTCGGGCTTCGAAGCCTTTGACGTTCAAAAGTGCGTATAAGGGTTAAAATAAATGATTTTGAATTTAACTCAAGTTTACCTATACCCAACGGTGAACAGAAACTCTGACGAAGTATTCCAGAAACCGATACAATTATAGAGATCTGTAAAAATTAATTTACTGTTTTAAACCTGTACAATGACACCAAACACGCAGTTGATAATTAAACCGTATCATGTGAACACTACTCGTTAATTTCGTACGTTGCTTGTCGCGTTTTACTTTACAATATTTGGTTAATGATATATAGTTACAGAGTAAATTGTGTTTATGTTAACTAATTGAATAGAAAATAATATATGTGTCTACGGGCATTGTATATGGGCTGTTCCACAATGACTTCATGCCAAATGTTATGCCAACTGTGTACCGCCAAAAATGTCCCTCACCCTCGGCCTAGAGGCCTCTAGAAGGAGCGGGGTGGGTTTTAGTCAGTAAGAGTCTGACACTCCCTCTTAACCGATCCAAGGCGAGAGAAGTAGTTTCCCTCTTCAAAAAAGGCCAACTATACAATACTGAATAAGACTCTTTGACGGACAGCATACGGCAAGTAATTTGGACAAACTATGCATGTGAAATTGTGGCTTGGTAACGTACTACGCGTAAAAGTAATGTACTAGTGTGAAGCAAAAATGTTAGTGATGAATTAGCTTATAATATTGGCTTGATTATGTCCCTTCGGATTGTTCTATCCTGATTGGAGACAATGTTTTTCTATTCTAATTCTTAACCAGGTAAAAGTAACCTGAGACATTCAAAAAAAATCCTAAAAACGACCAATTTATTTACAAAACCAATACTCACAGCTCAATTTTGAACCTACTCTATTCGAATGTCGTATAAATTGATTTTTCGTCTATTAAAAAGCCTGTACTCAGGATAAAAGGCAGACATACAACTGCAAAGACAATAGACAAACGCACAAACTTAATAAAACCGCTGCCAAGGTTGCGAAGGTCACAAAATTTTATTGTCTCCTGTAATGTAATGTAACTTGTTTTATAACGTTATCAGCTAATATTGCTACAAATTGTTATCTTGTCTTTTTGTATTGGAATTTCTTTATTGTGTCATTTGATTGCAGTTTTTATTAACTGCTTGGTTAGTCTGGTAAGCGCGGTTTATAATTATTAGGTGTATAATTACAATTGAAATATTACTTAAAATAACGAATGAAAAGTTTCAACACAATTGTCAGCTCAATTTTTTGATCATTATCATCAACACTTCTAATAAATTGAACAAGAAACGGAAAAGATAATATAACCATCACGATTCACAATATAATTTGATTTATATATGTATTTTAATATAATAATACCTCATCCATATCAACATAGTCCAAGTGATCCAAACTATCCTCATCTAACCCAACTGTCAACTATGGCACAATATAACATATCTTCATCCGAAAAAAATAAAAATGTCCTCCATAATAAAATAGGTGAAAACTCTTTATTTTCCCGCCGAGAAATCCCCATAGACAAAACGAGTGACGTGTTGCCATAAACAAAATTATTACTTTTGTAAACACCTGTACGAAAGTGAGTTAGAAACTTTTTACATTTTCTTTTTTTTTTGGTATTTCGGCCATGTTTCTGTAGGTATTGTAGATGGACTTGTTGGGTTCCTGTGGAATTTTGCGAGTCCTTTGGGACTGGCCAAATCATGCGGCCAATCGATATTGAAAATACAAAACAACTGAAAATAATTTTTAGTTTTATTTAAAAGCGGTCGATGTATTTATTAGTTAAATTATTTTTAAAGTTCTTTATAAACTTTTGTTGTGGCTTATTTTCCAAAAAAGAATTCCACTAGAATTAAAACCTAAACCTGCTTTTGAATGAGGAGTCATTTTTGATTGAAGAATTTATGGCAAAAGGCCCATGCCCTACAATCCTAGCCGTAGTATCTTCACAATCTTTTCTTTTATCCTTTATCTTTACAAAAATGAAATGTCTAGAATGTTCCATAATATCCAGCCTATTTACCTTAGTCCTTCCGTTTCTTGGACGTTATCCCTGAAATATCTTTCAGCGAAAACATCGCAATATCCAGCCGCACCTCGGGGAACTGTAACCGTCTTCTTTCAAAGAATATTTCGTCTGAATTCTGAAAGTATCATCTCTGGGTAAAACTTAGCTATAGTATTCATAATGGGGCTTCATTTGTGACATCGTTCGATGTCTCCGGAGATTTTTTGGATAGAAAATTATTTAATTTGATTGTCATAGTGGAATGGATGCGTACGACATTTTGACAACCACTTACGTATCTTTTCCTGTCTTCTTTTTTTCTTGTGGATATAGTCTGTGGTTTTTGTGTGTGTTTCATATATTATGTATGGCTAAGTTGGCGTGTTTAAGTTGTGAACATGACTGTGAATAGTAATGGAGAATTTTCAATCCTTTGTAGCGATTAAATTATTAGAGAATCAGTGAACTGCCATAATCGAACCATACTTTTTAGTTTCTTTACCATACTTTCTGACATCATTTTTCTTTTTGGAGTCGTTTACTAAATTACACTGTTACATAATATGACCGACTAAGTAAATGATGTAAAAAAAGAGTAGCCATGAAGTTGCTTGCTCGTTCTCCTCCATTGGAATCTACATCTTCTAAGGAAGAAAGCAAATAACGTCGCTAGAAGACTAACCGACAGAGTGACGCACAACTTGAACTTTTTGATAAGTATATTTTTTTTTTATTCACGACCAGTAATTTTTATATTTAGTTTTGTATCCAAATTTTCTGGAATAAGTATGAACATTGTAGCAACATACAATAGACAAAGAATAGTATCGTATCTGTATCCGTCGTAATTATATAATATTAAATGCTAAAGGTTAATAAGCTTTCCTTGTATAAGTGAGATAAGTGATAAGCCCACTTATCAGACAATCACGATAAAGGACAGTGTTTATGTAGGGGATTTGTGATTGGTTAAAATACTGCGAAAATTCCATAGTACCTACCTTTATTGGAAAATTCCTAATCATGGAAATGTCAATGATTCGGCATTTTATCATATCCTACTAATAAGTTTGTGAGATTGCATGGATGTATGTTTGTTCGTTTTTACGCAAAAACGGCTGGAGCGATTTGGTTGAAATTTGATATGAGGATTGGTGATACCGTGGATCAACACATGGACTAGTAAATAAGCTAGGAGATATTAATAGATACAGGAATGCTAGAATTTAATTATTAAAAAAAGAAAAAGAATTTTGTATGTACTTATTTTTATCATATCTTCGAAAAGGGATTAAAATATAATTCTGTTTAATAAAAAATACTGGTCAAAGTAAAGTAAGCTTTAAACTGCTCGAAATAAAGGTTTATTAAAAACATCACTGAATTCATAAATAAAAAACACAACAACTGCAAAAAGTTGTATTGACCACATTTTCAAGGAAAACTGAACCTTAATTCCTAACAATGGAGATATCAACTGGAAAAAACAACCAAATATGCTCTTTATGTCATTATTAAGATAACACTGAATTTTCTTTACACCCTTCTTTTGTAAGGGTGAAACTTGTTTAAAATCACCTTCAAACGATTTCTATATCTTATTGAATACAACGATAAGGGTAAAGAACAAAGGAGATTCGCCCCCCGAGTGCAGGGGGCGAATTTATTCAATTTGATGTACCAGTATTTCTTTTGTATCAATTTCTTATTTGTTTGTATCCAAGCAAAGCCTTCTGGGCAGAAAATCCATAACTAATATTCTAAAGGAAAAGTTTTTTTTCTGTTTTCGACACAAAGGCTTGGGCATTACTTATATAATTGTTTTTGTTTTAACTAGGCTGTTTATGTTTTTTTTTCAAAGTCTAAGTTGAATTAATTTTGGTCTGATTTTTCAATAGTCAGATAAATGTTATCTGAGGAATAAAATTGTTGCTGTCGCGTTAGAATGTTTGAAGAAGAAAGTGACAACAAAAACAAAAGTGCTACAATTTTATTCCTCAGATACCATTTATCTGAATATTGAAAAGTCAGCCCTTTTTCCAACTAAACCATATAAATAGGTAGGTACTTTTGAAACGTCAAAATAGAATAGTAGTCTGTCAGTCTGTTCGTCAGTGGAACTAGGTGGTTTCTTCGTATCTAAGATGTTTTAAAACCTACGTGTATTATGTATTAGGTCGTGAACCGAGCTTACGGATTACCTGTGATGGTAAGCAATCAGCGCCGCTCATGGATACTCGTGATATCAAGTGCGGTGCCGGACTATTGTGGGTTATTAGGAATTTAAAAATAGGGGATTTCAGAGACAGTTGCACCAAGTTTCGAACAAACCCTCATACATGAAAAGCCTTACCTCCGGCGGAAGGTATAAATATCAAATAAGAATCAATATTTTCAAATACTTATTTTTATACCGAATATCACTATAATAGACTTAGACGAAAAATACCAAGATTTCTTCTTCTAAACAAAGAAGAATTATGTTATACTAACTTTTGCCCGCGACTCCGTTCGCGTGGAATAGTGACTTCCTGCAGATTTTTGGTAAACTATCCTATGTCCTTCCTCGAGTTTTAAACTATGACTGTACCAAATTTCATACAAATCGGTTCAGTAGTTTAGGCTTGAAGAAAAGCCAGACAGACAGGCAGAGTTACTTTCGCATTTATAATATTAGTTTGGACTTATATAGACTTAGACTTAATTTTATTGAAGAACCCTTTTCAAAAAATATTTAGTTCGGTCGGATTAATATCTATAGATTAGATAAACGCCATCTAATTGATAGCAAATAGTTTCTACAATAATCCTGTGAATTAGTTGTTTTATTTGATAGTACAATTTAATTGCTTCATTCAATTCGCTTTGTGAACTTTAGTTGGGTGATTATTAATTTGACTAGCTCTTTGATTTAGTTGGTTGTTGCCTGTAGGCTTGATTGCTGAGTTATAGAATTATAAATTGATTTCTAATTTCTAAAATGGCTACGCAGTTTAAAATTAAACTACATCGGTTAAGACTTTTAAGTGTGCGAGAGGTATGCTTCGGCACGAATGGGTCGGCTCGACCGGAGACCACGGCCTTACAGAAAACCGGCGTGAAACAACCACAGCGTTGTGTTCGCCATGTGAGTGTGGTTACCATCCGTAAAGTCTAATCCCCAAAAGACCGGTAAAGCATTAAAGACTCCATTGGTGTTGCGGGTTTACATGGGCAGCGCTGATTGCTTACCATCAGGTAATCCTCGTTTGCCGTCCTATCCTGTTATTGAATAAGGCTTTCGTCCGGTGGCTTTTTGTGTCACTTCACGACATGGAACATAGACCTCAAACTAATAATTCAGTGTAACTTTTCTTAGCATATGAAGACAAACGAGCAGACAGATCACCAGAAGCAATCAGTGTCCCTCATGGGGACTTTTGAAAGTCTAACATTCTCTAACGTTTTGAGGAATTCAAGGATCAGGGATAGCCATACAGGTTAGGAAAATTGTTTGACCAAACACAACGCAAGAAATACTTCACGCTAATTTCATTCTGGTCAACCAGAACCGGGAACAGTTATATAAAATACAACATAATAAAAAGGACATAAAAAATTGAAATACAAAAAGCACTTATAAAAACAAGTAAGTAACATAAGCATTGAGTATCTTTTGAAAAAAATACCTAACATAGTTACATTTATATATAGGTTGTTATAGTAAGTTGGCCAACTTTTTTCATATCATATCATGTCGTGTTGGCCCAATATTCAGCTTATATATTTGATAAAGAATAATCAATCACTGTTGGGATGACGAACTTGGGTCCGATAAGAAATCTTCACGCCATTCTTTGGGGACTTACTGAATTGTAGTTAGACGTCGTAAAAGTTACTAACAAGATATATTTGGACGTTGTTTTATATGAAATAATGTAATGTAAGTATAGGCTTTTTTTTGTCTTGTCTTTGTTGAATATAAAGTATATATTGCCAATTTTAGCTTAAAAACCGCTTGTATAATGTGTATTATATGAGTCATGAGAACAGAATGTGCAATGTTCAATTTCTACTTTAAGATTCTCGTAAATAATACCTATCGTCCAATGCATTTATTCAATTATAAAATAATAATCCATTACACATCATTTGACAGTCCAAATAAGGTTATTAAGACTATCAAACTTTTTCATTCCTAATGATGATTGAAACAATAAGCCGCGACGCGCCCGCTGCTCATGAATAAGAGTCCCGCTGTGACTTGAAACTAGTCGAGCTGTTCTTAATTAATTTACGTGAGTGAGTCATTATTTTCAATAAATTTGGTATGTCTCACGATAGTTACTATTAGATAATAACAAATGAACAGAGCAACGGGCATATTAAACATAGGTCGTACATACACAAGCAGGTACTACAATAGCCAATGTATATAATATTACATATTCCGCGACACAGAGGTCCCTTGAGTAAATAGAATTCGGCGTCTTGTTGAAACACTTTTCCTCCATAACAGAATTTTAAGGATATACGGGAACATTTTGCGTTTGGACACGCAGCGTTTTTTGTTTTTGTGATGTAAAAAATTTAAAGATATATGTACTTACTAGGGACCCGCCTCGGCTTCACACTAGTGCAGTGATTATACAAAATTTCTTCAGTATTTAATATATGTTGTTATACATATAAACCTTCCTCTTTAATCAGTCTCTCTATTAAAAAAACTGCATCAAAATCCGTTGCGTAGTTTTAAAGATTTAAGCGTACATAGGCACATAGGGACAGAGAAAGCGACTTTGTTTCATACTATGGAGTGACTGGTAAATAAGTAGATGAAGAAAAAACTAAGACGGAATCAAACTAAAAACAATGCATATTGTCCTAACAAAACTTAAAGTGAAACATTGTATCACGCTTATTTTTTTTTTTAATACATAGATAATTTGATGACGAAAACCTTAGTTCGATCAACAAAACATTTTAAAATATTCATGTTCCAATTTTAAAATTCTTTTTTTTTAAATATTAAATCATTCCGCCGACTGATCCCCGGATCCACCCCAGTACATTTCCATGGACTTACACCAAGGGATTCGGGGTGCAATGTCAGCATAAGATTTAGGTAAATTGACACGAGCTCCGAAACTTATTGTATATTATGGAGGGAAACGTGTTTTCTAAGCAAAATGACAACGAATCAGCTGCTCGGCGCTTTATACAGAATTCCTTTTTTAAATACGAAAATATAGAACGTTGTATATTATAATGGAAATGTATAAACGCTTTTCAATTTTTTTTTTCGTGTTTAAAACTGTTATTAATAGTTTATGTAAAGTATGGAAAAGGACAGATAGTGTAATAATTGAAAAAAATAATGTGAAAATCCAATCTAGACTATTTTGGCTTAGGTTCTTCTTTCCACAAGACCACACTAATCTAACAAAAAAAACAAGGTTTCCTATTTTAATAGTGATAAACTTAAAGTGCTAAAGATATACTAATTGGAAAGAATATGAATAGCGATAGATTCGGAAAATGCATTATTTGATTAGTGAGCCCCTGAACTAGGGTTGCCGCCCCTCCCCCACTAGGTTTAATTTAAGTCTGTGTTTCAAGTTATAATTCGTAACATCTTAGGCTTGAAAAAAAAATATCTAAGCCAACCTACATGCTAAAAGATATATTAGAACTCATATTTGAATTGAGAACTAGTTCTTACCAAACTGAATGTTACTACAAAAAAAAAACTAATAAAATTACACAATAACATATCACGCACAGATAAAACAAACAAACAAACGACCCAGATAATAATATCTAGATCTACACAGGTTTGTTTGTCACGAGCATAAAAAGTGAAATCGCTGTCGACGACATGTAGCTTAGGGGTCGTGAAGGTTACTGCGGAGTCGATCACGATTGCCCCACGGTGTGAGCAAAGGTTACAACGGAATGCTATCATGTAAAGGCAACCCTGGATTACGGCAATAGTTGAATAATAACTCGTATGGTGAATTGACTGTTAATATTTTTTTCTACACACTTTTTCATGTAATAGGTCGGCAAACGAGCCGACGGATTACCTGATGGTAAGCAATCAGCGTCGCCTATGAAACCCGCAACGGAGGAGATACGAGTGCGTTGCCGACCTTTTAGGGATTAGGGATTTGGAGATTTAGGGATTGGGAGAGGGGAAGGATTGGGCCTCCGGTAACCTCACTCACACAGCGAAACACAACGCTGTGGTTGTTTCACGCCGGTTTTCTGTGAGGCCCTGGTATCACTCCGGTCGAGCCGACCCATTCGAGCCGAAGCATGGCTGCCCCACACTTACGCTTCCTCATAAAGTGGCTCTTATCCCACGGCAATTAGGCATGTAATGACACCTATAATCAAACTGTGCCTTTTCATTACTATTATTCACAACTCACAAGTGAGTAATACAGTTTTTTTTTTAATTATTGGTTGTTTTACGCGTACACTTGCGCTAAAATACTATCGTAAAGACAAAGAAACAAAATGTTTGTGTCTATGGCCCATACGCGTGCATAGTCATACCTACCTATTGATTATTTTTTCCCGTCCCCTCGGCTGACTGCTCGGGCCTCAATGCGCCTCTACGGTAATCACCAAGTCACCAACATTACACACAAGTACCAATGTAACTTATTCCGAGTTGTATATTTACTTTCTATGATTATTAAAACACCACTGACCATTGAGCGTATTTTTCCTACTAGTTTGAGTTTGATTCTTTGGTTTCTCATTTCGACTACCAAACTAATGTAATTGTTTTATTACAATACATACACAAGCAAATTTGCACGATAAAGCTCGGTCCCGAGTCCCGTTATAATAACTATTGTATGAATTTGTATGTCATGTAAATTCAAACTATCGTAACTTCACACAGAGCGCAGGAACAATCACAAAATCACTATACACAAATTACATTCCAAATTCAAACACACACTGATTAGAACCGAACAGAGCCGAGTCACGTCGCGCCAATTAGAAAACGGTCCCGAATTAATTTGAAAATGGAACACTCGATTTTGATGTAGTGGAATCTGTCGTTGCGGGCTTTGTTTCCCGCAAACAAGCAAATATCCACTTTGCACTAATATGTTAAAGTCCAATTCAGAGTGTGAAAATTTTTCGGCAGACTCATGAGATAATAGGTGAAAGACTGAATGTCATGGAGTGTGTTCTCTATTAATTTATTATGTACCTTAGTCTTAGAAGTTAAGGCATGTTTTAGGTTGTGATATAACATGTGTAATTAGTGAAACGTGTTCTTCTGTAAGCAATTTCTGCGATATTTGGTTGAAATAGGCAATTTTCAACACAAGTCTATGTAGGTATATTCCTCTTAACTTAGATAGGATCTATTTTTTACCGTTTTCCCTTACAAAGTACATATAAATCTGCAAGGAAAGTTATCAGCAATAAATCTGAACACTTCGCGTCGTGAGCCCATGTAGTAAGAAATTAATGGGGCCGCCATCTTTTAATTTTCTTTCCTAGTCTTTTAGTTTTTCTCTTTCTTATAACTTTTATCTTTTGCGCTACGTTGCTTTTGTGAACGTAAAAAATCGTTTAGAAGGAGAATTTTGATGGTCAGTATAGAGTTTGATGATTAACGTTAAAATATGTATTACACGTAAAAGCTTACTTTTTTATGTAAGAGATCAATAAGATTTATGTAGATAATAGGAAATCTCTCATCATTCACCTTCAATAATGAGGGGTTCCTTACTATGGTAAAAAAGTGAATACTTATTATGAGTCTACCTAGACTAATTTTATAAAGAGGTAAAATTTTTAAAGTTTGTATGTAAGGGGTAATCTTTGGAACCGCTGGTCGGATTGCCAAAATTCTTTCATATGCACCATGTATAGTATCATAACATATGGCGCCGAGCAGCGGATGAAACCGCGCGAGAGTAACTAGTTTATAAATATTTTTTTTTCTAAGATTAAGTATATAGGTAATTTGTATAAGTAAATAAACATGTTTTGTAAATTTCCTTAGTAAGAAATAAAAGGCTTTTTTATTTATGTTATTTATACAAAACATTATGTGCCTCCGTAGTACTTGTAAACCGAAAACTTGACATCGCCGTATGGCCTCATTAAAAGGTATCGAGTGTAACAAAGCAGGTACACTTGCGTTCATTAGGCGAGGGCGACATTTCTCGACCGAGAGACTTCTGTGTGTAGGTACAGTGGCGTGCATACGTTGTTGTCAAAAATTTTATATATAATGTTAATTTTTTCTTCCTTTATTTGATTTTCGTGTATATTTGTCTGTTGTTTTTTTGATTTATGTAACTTTTTATAGATTTTATTTATTTCATTCTTCATACACAGTTTTCACATAGGCGGACTTTTCTACCAGTCCGAGCCTTGGGTGATAGTCATATGAGCCGTGTAAGAAACTAGCAAAAAATATAATTTTATTCTAGACATACATGATATGTTAGGTATACATATATGTACGTATATTTATAAGGAAATATTTTTTTGGCTTTAATAGAATTTGAAAATTAGTAACTTAGTAAAATTTAACTTACATGACGCCTACTTAAATAGGTACAAAATTTTGTTCGCTACTGTACAGCTAGCTACAGTCATTTTCTTGATTACTGTACTCGAGCGTCCAATTTCTGTCAAGAATTCCTTCGTTTGGTGTGCGGAAAATTCTTCTTTTTTTTTTCGTCCGCCATTTTTCGATGATTTTCATATATTTCTTGGTTTATGGTCTGAGAAATATTGGCGGGAAAAAGTATTAGAGGTTTTTGTTGTATTTACTTATTTATTTATTTAGGACCTTTGATGCTGATTACGTTGAATAAAAATAATACAAACTCTGTTTTTTTTTTGTTAATCAGCTTTTTTAGTTACTACTTGAGGTTTTTTACGTTTAACATCAATTTTCTTTCTGGTGGTAAAACACGATACATTATTCAAACTTTGAATTATGACATACGAGCCTACTGCTACAGATTGTAAATGTGTCTGTCAATGTAGGAAACCTCATATTTCTTCATTGTAATATAGTTTCAAAGTTAGGATAACATAAGTACTATTTTTGCAACGCACCGATAATTTGAAAATTATATCTACTTACTATCAGCACAAATATATTAACTATTAAAAATTATATAACCACTGACCAACATTTTTTATTCATAAAACATTGCCCCTCACTTTTATTTTCTCCTGTGCCAAAATATTAATTTGTGGATCACGAAGTGTCGTCCCATTGGGAATCGCACCGCGACACAATGTGCGGCAGCCTGTTGTCCAGCCACTGCGCCAATTGTGCATAGGGCGCTTTCGACCGGACAATAAATATTTTTTTTTTTTACTTGCTATATACCATCAGGTGGGATCGACCTGATGGTAAGCAGTGATGCAAAAATTTGGAACTTAAGGAGGCTAGTGTTTAGAAAACCTCTAGAGATTGATTTGATGACGACCACTAAATATCCTTTCTTTCTTCCCCAGATTGCGTCCACCTGCAACTCTACAAGGACTTGAAGGAACGTCAAAAGAACGGCCAGACCAAAGCTTCCCTGTCGCTGCAGCAGTACCTGGGCATCGAGTCTGGCTTCACCCTGGACAAGGAGTCCAATACCCTGGCCATACTCTGTGAGGATGTGGTGCCTGTCCTCGCGTTTGATACCAGGGAAATACTGATACAGTGGAGAGTTAAAGTAAGTTATTTTGAAGGTAGAATTTTTAAACACTGGTGATTAATTCTGTTGGACTACTTGTTAATCCCCGTTAGAATTGACGTGAGAATTTCCATCAATTATTTAATTTCTTTTTTCTACGTAAGACTAAAGAAAATAATCTTATTGTAGAAATAAGGTTTCAAATTTCAGTAAAACACTTAAATTAATTGCTTGAATTAAATAAAGTCTTGTTTTAAAGCGAACATATTTCTGTTAAGCTAATTAGTTTTACATTTTTAATTCATTAGCAAAGTGTCCCGAATCTAGATTTTCATTTTTGCGCATAATCTTCTTTTAATTGGAGTAAAATATTATTTAAGCAGAATCAGCAGACAGCTCGTTACTCTACTTTCATAATCTGAAAAAACTTGTTTCAAAATGTTTGGTAAAAGTACCTACTCTGAAATTGTTAAAATTGTTTCCATTAATCTACAACAGTTTTAAAAAACTAGCTATAAGTACTTAATTTTGTGCCAAATTATGTTTTATATTTAACGCAAAACATTAAGTCGACCTCACAGAAAACCGACGTGAAACAACCACAGCGTTGAGTTTTGCCGTGTGAGCATGGATACCAAAGGCCCAATCAATACTTAAACCCAAAAATCCCTTATCCCCAAAAGGCTTACAACACCAGAGGAGCTGCGGGTGGCCATGTGCGGCGCCTCCTGCTTACCATCAGCTAACCCTATGGCTCATTTACCTTCGTATCACGTACAAAAATACAATTAAGTCATCATATTTAACATTTCAAAAGAAGAATGGAATTTGATTAATGAGTTCCTGTCATCATCCCTCCCTATTCAGTGCAGTTTCTACTAAAAGTTTTTAGCTTTGTCTAATGAAAATGATACTGGCAACTGAACTAGAAACTCTCATACTCATATTAATTCCGCAGGTCCAACATAATCTTGGAGGCAGCAAGGAGTTTGCAGCGGTCATCATATCTTCTCCCACTGCTGCCAACATAAGGGCAGGACCCGTCAGATTACACGCATGTGGACCAAGACTAGCCCTGTGCGCATCTAGACCACCTGAAGTTTTAGCTCTGTGGGACGTCAAACTACTCAGGTCAGTTTTATAGAATAATGGGTCTTACGTTGTTCTGTTTTCGGTCTCTTTTAGATGAAATTGCTATGAATGTTTCGTACATAAGTTTTTTTTTTATTACAGTTTCAATAATAGGCCTTATGCCGTACTGTCTACGGTTTTCTTTATGTGAAATAACCATTTATGGTGCGAGGTTAGTTCTGTCTTTTATTTCATTTTTCCTTTTATCTTTTCCGAGTGGAACGGTGAAATTAATCATTAAATTTCCGCTTAACTGGCCGTGAAAGTAACGTTTTTATTATAGTATTCGTTGAACTATTAGATATTGCTTTCATACATATAACTATTAGGCCAGTAAACAATGAAAATATTCTTTTTAAAAAAAAGTAAGAACCATCCAACAGAGCTCAAAACGCCAAAACCCGAATCATAAAAAAATACTTCAAAAACGAACATGGCCGGCGACGCGGAGACAGATAAAAAAACTTTGGCGGGAAAATAGATGTCATTGGTAATTCCAAAGTGCGTTTAACAGGTACACCTCAAAGTTTGGAGACGGTACTAATCTTTGCGCGTTCCTTTGAAAAATTGTCCCCGATAATTTAGCAGGTAACTCGACTTTCCTGTTAGAATGTGCGTAAAAGTTTGACCCAGTTAAGGAGTTTTAGAAAAGAGGATTTCTATCTTATATTTGCAATTTAATCGTGTTCGCGCGCAAGAACATGTCAGGTAGGAGGCACGTTTAGAATTGTCACCTTGTTAAATTACCGTTTATTAAGCTTTATTTTTGTTCTAACCTTCTCTGGAAAAGTTTTGGAACGCCATTCACCATTCATTGCTTTTGCAACCAAATTGTTTAAAGACGTTTTAAAAATACGAACAACTACAGATGTGCATCTATTCGTTAGACCTATGCTCTAAATAAAGGCGTAAAAAATACGATCACTCAACACCATAAACAAATACATTCCTAAAAACCTATCATTACATAAAAAATTTACGCGTATACCGTTTACAATACACACCAATAAATCCACACAGATTGACAGCTAGCTACCACAGATGCATAATATAGACATATTACAGCACACACCAAAGACAATTCCGTGCATTGTTTACGTCGCGCCTGTAGAGCTCTATGTCAGTGCAAGCTTACTCTGTGCTAATTAATTAATAATTACTGCTCGCTATCGGGCTAATACTAACCGTGTTTAGATCAAGACTGATTGTGCTTTGAATAATGTTAGAATACCAAGACGTTCTCTTGTATTTTTTTTTCATCTTGATAAGTGAGTCTTAAAAACGTATTGTACACTTTTTCCAGCTTAATAATTTCCAAATAAGATGTACAGTTTAATAAAATAATATTTTATATCGCCCATCCCTACCCAGCCCCCATCACTTCCCAATCCTTAAATACTCGAAACCTTAATCTCTAAAAGGCCAGCAACGCACTCGTAACTCCTTTGGTGTTTTGGCGACGCTGATTGCTTACCATCAGGTAATCCAAGTCAGCACGTTTGCCGACCATACCTTACCGCCTTTCCAAATTGTGTATTTGGAAAGTAAACTAGAAAATAACGACCACGAAAATAACACGACACGACCCTCCTTTCCCACAAAACAAATAAGTCGTTCATAAGTAGTTCGCTGTTTTCCCGTAAGAGATTAATAAATCTACTAAGTAATACCGATGATTAATAGAATAGTGACAGTATGTAATAGCCTCAACAGCTGTTAGTATCGCAGGGATATAAATAATATATGTGTTCGATTCCCCTCGCGTCGTGCCTGCAAGTCACCCCTAACAGACAATCATTAAAAATACATAATACGAGTACTGTCTGCCCTCATCATTCGATTAACGAAATCGCATTTCGGTTTTCAAACTCCAAAAAGTTTTCAGATGAAAAAAATGAATAGGTATGACATTGCCAATAAAAAAATTAAATAAATACTTCTTTTCTCTCGATTATTTTCACTAAAATGACTTTTTATTTAAAAATGAAACAGAAAAAGCGGCTACCAATTTACAAGATCAAAATCGAGTAATATTTCCAAAAGTTTTCTTTACAAAACTCGAAAAGTTTAGTTCGCAATCCCTTTTTCCCGGTTAACAGACATACCCTGGAACAATGGCCGACAAAAAAGGTAACTTAACATTATGATCAGCTATTAAAAGTCATTAAAACTCGTATTTAGCTGAACAATTCCAACAATAATAACCTGGCTACCGTTCGCTGGATTTTTACGAATTCCTTTGCCCTCCTTTCAGATATTTTTAACGACTTAAGAAAACTTTTTGGTCGAGATTCGGAATCTACGAATTACAAAAGAGTATCAGTGAATTACAAAAGAGATTTTAATGTTTTATTATTTTTGGGTTTTATCGTTTTTTGGCCTTTAAAAAGGGATATAACGATAGGTTAATGTGCTTGGAGATGTTATCTGTCAACATGTTCGCAGCATAAATGAGCTGTTGTTGCCAGCCAGTTAACGCGCACCAGGCACGATGAGTTTTTTGGTGCAAAAGATAAAATAAAATCATTTTGAGAAAACCTTTTGAAATATTTTCTTTGATGGTTTATTTTTGTAATATGTAACTACTTAGGTACATACTTATTGGAAAAAAAATAACTAAAGTTAGAAAGTGTAGATACCAATTTCCCTGTGCTGAATGGTTTATGTTGTTACACCTAGACTTAGAAATAGCTTAAAATTAGCCACTCGATGCCTGTCAGTAGACGTTTGCTATGGAAGAAATAAAGTTTATTCAAGATATGCCAAGACACTATTAAGTGAGGGAGAGCCATGCTTCGGCTCCACCGGAGTGAAACCATTGCCTTGCAAAAAAACCGACATGAAGTAACTCTTCCGTTGTGTTCTGCCGTTTGAGGTTATATTATAACCTCACCCCTATTCTTAAATCCCTAATAACCCAAAAGAGGCCGGCAACGCATTTGCAGTAATTCCATTGGTATTACGAGTGTCCATGAGCGGCGCCGATTGCTTAATCATCATCATCATCATCATCATCATCATCATCATCATCATCATCATCATCATCATCAGCCTATAAGTGCCCACTGCTGAGCAAAGGCCCTTTCTCACACGAAGAAGCCGATTGCTTACCATCAAGTAATCCGTTTGCTCTAAAACTATACCTAAAGCTTACAAGACAACCGTATTGTTTATGTTTGTACAACTTACAATAAAAATAGACATCGTTCACCCTTTACGAAAATTTAGCCACAAATATAAAGGCGCAACCACACTAAAGCTTCTAACGTAGACGCTACACTTTCCCTCGGTAACAAATCATCCTGTATAATAACATGACGTCACCACTAATAACCCGGGAATTAATAACGCCCTCTAGTGTGCGTTCGACGTTATTGTGTATCAAGCGAAAAATAAATTGCTTCTAGATCCGATCAAATGAGTACAAGCGTTCTAGAGTTACATTTTAAATTTTTTACGAGAAAATAAAGTTTTTGTTATTTTTAATTAAATCGTAGTTGTATTGATTTAGTGTAAAAATTGCTATAGTTTCATGTTAGGACAGCATCCAAAGATAAATACACTTAATTGTTTATCACCACCTCTAGTTTTTCTAGTTATTGGACCGAAAAATCTCACACTGATATACCTGAATTTTAAAATCAAATCAACCAATATTGGGGAATAATGGGATAGTTGTCAACCTAATATTATAATCTAAATTACAGTCAAAGTCAAATCATTTATTTTAAATAGACAACTACATGCACATTTAAAAAAATATAACAAAAAGTTCAACTTGCGTGTGTCGGTCCTCAAGTAAAGCTATTTGCTCGTTTATTTAAGTGTAGATTCGTATGCAGAATAAGGAGCAAGAAAGTCTATTGTTGATTACGTTATATAATTATATTTTAAGCTAATATAGCGTAATATAGTCCAAAAAAAATATATTATTAAATAAAGACCTGGCAAGATAGAGGCCAAGCGCCGGCCCTTTATAAAGAAATAAAAAGCAGTTTATAAAAATAAATAAGGAGAATTTGAAATAAGAATGAGAATAGAACTACAAAAAGAACGATATAACATTGGACTAAAACTTTATCTAATTTAGTCGTTTTTATTTATGTAATATATTTGTTAAAAGAATGTTAAGATTACCGTCTATGATATGGATTGAAAAATATCCATAATCAAAATGTATTCGAATGAATCCATGTAAACTTTTAATATACTTATGTACTATGTGATTGTAATAGACCATTTATGTGGAAATCTACATTTTCTGTTATTAATTTACTAAAGAAAATAACATTGAAATAACTAGTACGTACGTTATACAAGGTTATTCAGGACCATGTTTCTTTACAAGTATTTTCCTTTCTTGGATATATTTTATTTCTTATTCCCAGATATTTTACCTTGTAATAAAACTAGTGGGGTTTTATTTTCCCTTTTTTGCGGCTGTAGTTTGTGGTTCAAAGAATAAAGATGTAATGAGAGCTTATTTCTATTTACTTTTACTTTACACTAGCCTCCGCCCGCGGCTTCGCACGCATGTACGTACGTATCCCGGGATTTTAAATATTATATCAAGTCGAATGTAATATTGTAGTACTTAGGAACATTGTACGAGTAGCTATCTATCAGTAAATTTTGGAAATCCAACCAGCGGTTACTTACAAATAACTCTTTATAATATTAGGACTTATAAATAAATCAGGTCGGAAAGAATAAATAGGTACGTTGCACTTTATTTTTATTTAAAAAAAAGTACCTATGAAACGTCATCAACAATTATTAATGCAATCAAGTAACTTTTTTCACCATCCAGAGTGGAGTGGAAACATTTTAATAATTCAGCAATTTTCCGTAAATTTTCCTACAGTAAAAAAGCTACCATAAACAAAATTCACAAAATCCCATGCACGATTTTTTGCCATAAAATTTTACCACCGGACCAACTTTCATTTCATCTTAAATTAAACAATACCCCGTGGCGATACGTTTGCCCAATAATTTGG